GTATCTGACCAGTTTGGCCAGTGTTAGTCAGTGGCAACAGGACAAATACTTCCATTGTCTTTTCAGATTGCCCCCCCCCCCCGGTGTAAGAGCCAGAAGGTGTCGTCAGGTTGTTGTTTCTGTATGTGAATTCCCAGATTTCTTCTAAAAAGTACATAACCAATGATTCCCATTAACAGAAAACAGGGAGTCATTATATTTAGTGTAAGGATTATTTATGGCTGGCACAGCGAGCAGAGAATAATAAATAAAAAATAACAGCAAGAACTTGTGATTTAACTATTTAGCACATCGTGCTTAAAGGGACGTTTCAGAATTCTAAATTGTTCATAAAGTTCTCTAGTGCAGAAGTACATTAGGCTTGTATAGACTTGTGAGGGCCAACGTTCATTCTTTATGGGCTGTTTTTGGCTTTAACAGATGCGTACATGATTCCCAAAGATGGCTTTAGCTGTTAGTTGTACATGTAAGCTTCTAAAAATAATGTAGCGCTTTCTTTAAGATCTGTTTGTACCAAGCTTGTTCTTTTTCTTGAGTTCTTTCCTCTATGGCATGATGGTGATATGAGAGACCATAATATAAGAACACTCATGCTGTGACTCATACTACCATAATCTTCAGTTCCCATTAGTCATTGTCAGTTTCAGCCCTATTCACAGCAGCTTTTCAAGTGCAGTTTTAGTGTTTGTGAAGAGAGAAGTGGCCCTGATTCCCACAGTACACTTTACTGCGGGACTTTGGTGTTTTTGTAGGAGCAGCGGCATTTTTGGAATGGCAGGATAACCGTAAATGAGTGACTGTCACATAAGCAGTTGTTCCAGTTGTGCTTGAACCTCCCTGAAGATGTATCCGCTGACACTCTGAAAGCACCGTGTTTTCTTGCAAAGGAGGCGTGTTTATGTGTGTTTGTTCTTGTCTCCACAGGACTCCCAGGAGAAGAATGCCAACCCGGTGAAGGCAGAGGAGGCCAAGCTGAAGGCCAAGTACCCCAGCCTGGGCCAGAAGCCCGGCGGCTCAGACTTCCTGATGAAGAGATTACAGAAAGGGGTAGGTGACCATGGTTTCTCCACAACATGGTCAGAGAGTAGAGGAGTGAGGAGACAGGCTACTGTGATCCCCACAGTAGGTGTGTTTCTGCCAACGCACCCCTGAATCCCTGCTCGTATACAGCACGCTGCAAAAAAAACCAAACTGAAGAAGTTTCCAGCTTCTAGTCCATGTGACTGTCCTTGAAATCAGCGTTTGAAAAGCAGATACATGCCACATACCTTACATTCATTCTCCTATTTTCTCTAAATTGTTTTGTATAGTTCTTAATCCGGCAGAAAACCGACCTCATAGAGACACCATGTTGAGATGTTTTTAGCTTGGCTGCAATGGAGCTTTATTGGACCAAATGTTTCTGTCGTCTAAATCACGACTGATCAATGTTATGTGTCCCAAAGAGCAAAAGCTTCTCTCTGCCTCTTTTGTTGTCCATTCAACAATCCTACGGGGCTAAATCCATTGAAGCAGAGAGAAATAATGTGTCCACCGGTTGAACCTCAGTAGACCAAAATGCAATGCGGCCACATCGGTGGCATGTGAAATATAACAGCCTTGTTCGATGGATTATTTTTATTTGTAATTTGAACAGCAGGGCAGAGAACACAGAGGCATCGTTCTCTCTCTTCTCTCACTTTCATTCGTCTGGAAAAACTGTTGCTCTCTCCACCTACACATGATGTATATGTTAGAGAGAACTTCCACCTCTGGAGATTGTTGAAAGTCACTCTGGGAAATCACTGACGAGGAGTAGGAGTAGCCGAGGCAGGCTGAGGGGAAAGCCAAAAAGTAAATTGCAGTAGTTAATCATAGGATAACTCCCAGAATGAACATCATCAGAGAGAGACGATATCAAAAACTTTATTTATCCATTTAATTCATTCATTTTTTAGTCAGTAACATCGGCACAATGCAATACTCAACGTGGGCATTTTACAATCTTATCTTTTCGTGTTAAAAGGTAAGTCTGCCTTTTACAGTGCTCTCACTGTAATAAACCTCCTGTCCACACTGGCTGTAAAAAGATTCCTTCTGAATGAAACAAACTCCACGTTCCCACTTCTGTGCAAAAATGCATTTCAGGGATTTTGATACTAAAAAAGGCTTCAACTTCGAAACAACTTGATTTGTCTTTAGAGCACAGTATGGTCCCTGTGGCAGACCACGTGCCACCTCCTCTGTGGCTGTGTGCGCACTGTCTGCTACTGTTATTTTGTGCGTAATCGTGTTAAGTTGTGCATTTTCTGTGTAGGATTTTCCATTTCTGTCTAACGCTGTAAAGGGCACTGTGGACAGATCTACAGACAGGAAAAGCCGGTTCTTTGCAAAGTGTTTACAGTGGCTATATGTAGCTGCTGTGCAGTATGTGTGCTATTTTCTACTGCATCTTACTTTCTTGTTAGCATTTCAGCTTCACACGTGAGCACATGTATTTTGAAACGACCACTATATTCAATCACAGTCTCATCAAAAAGACAGAAGTAACCACAATCATAGTCTTCATAGCTGTGTCCCATAACGGCACATGTGCAGTGAAAATGGTTTTCAGACATTTGGGACCGACCAGAAGAATTATTCTCCTTTAGCTGCTTGTTAAAGCTAAAAAAAAAAAGATGATTTTTTCTCATTTTTAGTGTTGTAACACTTTCAGTAGGCGTCACGATTCTTCGTTAAAACATTTATGGTGACTTACAATAAAACAATAAAGTTTATTTATGTAGCACATATCAAAACCAAAGTGTTTTACAAGGAAAAGATACACAGAAAAACACACAGCATATGTGTTATGTATGTATTTAATACATAATCCCAATGCAGGGTATAATGAAGGCTTATGATAGAAGCTATTTAAAAGAGGTAAAGTCATTTAAAGGGTATGTAAAAAACCTTTTTGATAAAAATCTGTTTACAGAAATTCTAATAATAATAATAATAACAATAATAATAAATCTGTGGGTCATCTGAATGACAGTGTGTTTTGGAATGCAGCAGCATAGGAAGGGATTGGGTCGGAGGTGGTACAGGCCAACAAGCCCGGGCGTGGGCACGTCCAACTCAGACTGCTGAAGCTTTGGTTGAACTTTGGAATACATTCTTGCACAGAACGTGGATTTCGTGCTCTATCTCGAAACATCGAGATTGCTTTAGAAAGGCTTCTCCACAGGGTCAGTATGGACAGAAGGAACAACTGCAGGGACTGATAATTCACATCTGGAACTGTACATATGGAAATGTGAGTGTTGTTTTATGACGGACATACATCTGTCAAATCCATGTTGTCTTTCCATGTCTTTCTCTGCCTAATTGAACCAGTGAGCATCTGTGAGCGTCTCTTATCTCTTTTCTCACACAGCAAAAGTACTTCGACTCGGGCGACTACAACATGGCCAAGGCCAAGATGAAGAACAAGCAGCTTCCCGTGCAGGGGCCCGACAAGAACCTGGTGACCGGCGACCACATTCCCACGCCGCAGGACCTGCCCCAGAGGAAGTCGTCCTTGGTGACAAGCAAGCTAGCCGGCTAGCCTCCACCATCCCAGAAGCACCCTCAACCCCCCTGGGACTCCCGGCAAATGTCCCTCCTCCTCCTCCTCCTCCTCCTCACCCATGTCCCCAATATGTCCATCCCCTCCCCTCCCTTCCCTTTTCATCCCCAGGCACCACTGGCTTTAACATGTCGGGCAGAGTTGTATAAGTTAAAACTCCATTTGCTTGTATGTGGGTGGGGCGGGGTGGGAGGGATGGAGGTTTAGGCGGCCCTCAAGGTCGCAGCCTTCTCTGCCTTCCCACCGCGCACAGCTCTGCCCACTCTGCGCACTCTGCTCTACCGCCTCCCTTATGTCTTGGTTTTCGGTGTTCCAAGATGCATCACAGTAGGTGTGTGTCATCGGGCAGGGGTTGGATGGGGTGAGTTAATGCACTTTGTAGTCTCTATAGTATGCTTTGTTCTTTTTTTGCATCCTAAATGACACCAAAATGCGTGTGAGGGAGTTAGGAACCATGATCGCAGCGCGTTCGTTGATTTTTATGTTCCCTATCTATGCTGGTGGCTGGCTTCGGCGGGAGGGGTTAGAAGATGTATGTGAATAATTGCTTGTGTACCAAATCTGTGAGGGGAAGCTGTCTAGTTTAAGCGTTCTTTAGCATTCACTGACACCATGTTGGGAAATGGAGGAAGTGAATGGAGGCTCCCTTTAGTCTCATCCTTTGGTCACGTTTCGTCGAACAAAATCCGAGGTCATCTGCTGCAGCTCAGCCAAACGGATTTGAACCGCCACCTATTTTTTTTTCCCCTCTCTCTGCTCATGTTGCTTTAATTCTTGACTCCCTTTGCTCCTGTTCTCTCTAAATATGCTGCATGATTGTAACATGTAACAAAAAAAGAAATTGAACATGTTTTTAACGGGAGTGGGGCATCTGCTTAGTGATAGGAAGTATCAAAACAAACACACAAAGCCCTCAAACGTCCATAGTCACACTTCCTTCCCTCCTTTCCTGTTTGCTGTCCTGACAATCCATGTACACACACTCCAGTTAGGGGCCCAGCGCAGGAGCCAGCTGAGTATATCCTTGTATTATTTCAAATGGCTGGGAACCCTGCCAATCTCGGAGTTCAGTCTTAGTTTGGTTGCTGTTGAGTTGCATCAAGACGTGTGTTTACTATGGGCCTAAAAGATTTGTGGGGGGATTGAAGCACCCTGCATAGAGTATATGCTTCTGTAAATAATACTCAGACAAGCACGTAATTCGTGATAAGCTTGGCGCTTTGAGGACCAGACCAGCTAACATGCCTGAGAGAAATGCTAGTGCTAAATCGACTCACTTGGGATTACATCCTGGGATTTCTGGCTTGGAAATTCTGTGCTTTACCAGCTGAGCCAAATGTCACACTGCAGCTATCGGGCTCAGAGGCCGCGGGTACCCTTGTCTTTCCACTGCGACTGTTACCATCTAATCATCTTGCTCACATTGTGATGTGATGAGGCAGACTAGCCCAAGCTGATCTGGCTCACACTGCGCTTGGGTCTCCATGGAGGCATGAAAGGTTATTTAAACACAATCCAGACATTTACGGACTTTCTTGTCATCTTTGAATCACGGATCCAGACACTGCTAAAAGTTAGCATTTGAGTGTCACACGTGAGCGTATTTTTTTAAAACGACCACTGTATTCAATCACAGTCCCATCGAAAAGATAAAAGTAACCACAATCATAGCCTCCATAGCTGTGTCCCATAACGGCACATGTGCAGTGAAAATGGTTTTCAGACATTTGGGACCGGCCAGAAGAATTATTCTCCTTTAGCTGCTTGTTAAAGCTAAAAAAAAGGTAAATTTCTCATTTTTTGTGGGAGATCATTCTCTCAATGTTTTAGCACTTTCAGAATATCCCAGTGTCACAGTCCGATGTAGTAATTCCCTTCACATCTTGCCGTTGTGAAACACTAACTTTAGTACAAGAATAGTACTACTTTCCTTACCTAAAACCGTAGCTGGAGTATAGACCTACTTCTACTACCAGCGCCCCGTAGAACGTTTTTTCTTCCCAAACTGACACACTACACAGACTGATCTTTGATCTCAGGGGTGTCAGAGGGTTAACAGCAGGCAACCTGATAACCACAGGTGTCAGCCCAGCTCCCAAGATCATCATCGCAGACTTAAAGTGGGACACTGCGTGCCTACAGGATACACTCACTCCAACACTTGGCAGAGCAGAGAGAGATTTTATAACACATGTTGAGGGGGCAAAGTGTGAGCCTGTGCTCTGTGCTCTAGTCCCACCCGTTAATGTGGTTCGACCTCTCAAGGAGGCGAAAGGTGCGATCAACAAATCTGCAGACTTTGAATGCGTGCCATCCACACATTCAAGAATCTGAACTGGATGCCGGCGCTCTCTGAGAATCAGCCTCCTTGTATAATACTGCTTCAGGGAACCTTCACAAACGCACACTCCACCATGTAGGCTAGGTGATAGGGTGCATGCACCATCACATTACTCAACCTCACTTGTTTTTCATTGACTTTAAAAAGTGTCAAATTTGCAGTGGGTGAAAGAGAACTGACCTGTACGTATGTGCTTGTTATGGTGTTGTATGAATGCACTGCTTTATCTCTGTTCCAGCCATTGTAAATAGACTTCAACAGGAAGGGATTTTTGTGTTGTTTCCCACCTGCTTTTCACTCTTTCATAGCCTGAGCTATTTTCTGATTCAATGGTTCCTCTCTCCTTTTAGTGTAACACTACTTCTGCTTTATCTAAGTGAATTGCAGAGGCCATGTGAATCTGTATCATATGAAAATATGTGTAAATGCTGCTGATTCAGTCAAAGACAAATCTAAGAGATGATACCCTGTAAAGAACACCTGTCCTCTTGATTCTACCAGTCCGACTCTCATCTCCCCAAGTATCTATGTTTCAGAGTCCTATAGCTCTCGTGGCAAAGTCCATTCAGTTGAGACTGTGGTAAACCTCAATATAACTTCTACCACAACATTTTGATGGTGTATTGTTGAATATGATCCAACTTTTGGTCCGGCCAGAGCTTAAAAGAAAAGTCTGGAATGCTTTATGTCACTTTGATTGACATGCACTGACCATTTAGCATCATACTGTGTTTATAAGCCTGCAGTTTCCTGCTTTAAGAAGTAAAGAATGTTAAAAGAAATGGGCGAATAAGCTACAACATGTTCTATGAAACATCAGTGGGCAGGAGTTCTTGAATGCTACTTGATGTTTGGCTTTGCACGGAGCGGTTCAGCGAGAGGAAATAGCAGGGTATGTTTCGAACCCAACACACAGGGTGTCTCTCGTTCAGCTATGATAAACACGTGCCAGAATGTATAAAGAAATGACAGGCTGTGTGCTCTGAAGTACTTTTGTGCTGCTTTTACCTTATCTGTTTTGTTGTTGTTTTGCAAGTAAATGTTCTTTTTTTTTTTCTTGTGTTCTCTTCTCTCATAATTGGTATATTCCATCCTGGCCCAAGGTAACTGCAGGGAAATCAGAGGCACCCTTGCTTCCAAGAAAAAAAAAATAAGGGTTTACATGATAAATAGGATGACTGGAGAACACAGGAATGATTTTAAGACTTCAGAAAGTACAGGAGTACTTGGAATGTTTCAGTTGTGTGGGAGTAGGTGAGAGGATTTTTGTCAGTATTTGAAATAAACTTTTACATTAATAATATCTCCTTGTTGTTTTTTAGTGATGTCTCTGCTCTACTTACTTGCACCGTTGATGTATTTGTCGGTGACAACCACAGAGACTCCCTCTGCACATATACTCTAATGAGAAAAAGACTGAAGTTCAACTGTAATGGCGAGGTGCTGAAAGTACAACCTCCCATTGGCCACTAGGGGGAAGCACAGTCATTTCTAACGTGGCCTTTTTGTAGAGAACAAAGTTCTGGTTTTTTCCAACATGGCCTCAAAAAGAGTGGAAAGTTCTACTTGTGTAGCAAGGCACCATGGGAACAGACTGGAAACCTGCTGTTCTTAAATTTTCGTAAATGTGTCAATATTATAATATTTTATTATGTGATCAAATAAAGGTCATGTGTGCTTTTGTGCAGGATAGAGTGGTTAAACATGTCAGTGATATGGCACCTTTTTGTGATTTACTACAGCAAATAAATTACACATCCCAGCAGGCTGCAGCCAGGGCTGCTTTTTCTTTATTAGTCCAGGATCAGTGTCAGAAGAAGTTATTTATCAAAACCTAAACTGATCAAATGACTTTACTTAAGCCACCGTCACTACTTCAAATTTAAAAAAATATACTGTGGTGTAAAAGGGAAACATCTACTAGTTTTAACTGCACTAAAATAAAATAACATAGATTACACACCTCCAGAAACGGGTGTATTATTGTTGTTGTTATAGCCAGATAGATCAGAATCAGAATCAGAATCAGAAATACTTTATTATATAAAATTATTTTTGTTACAAGACTCCAGATATACAAACAACATATATTATACAAGCAACATCTATTAAGAACAAAATATAAATATATATATAAATATAAATATATATATACATATAAAATATATAAAAGATCAAATTTACAGTTCAATACAATGTTCAATACTAGTTCAATACTATGTTATCTTTATTATTAATGTTAATAATATGATGTCAGACATTATTATAATCCGTGTCCCCCCTTGTCTACACTGGGCACGGATATTTGATGTCATGGAAAAGTACAAATGTTGTATATTTCAAGCTTCCCTTTTTTCTAACATAAACAAACAAACAACAAACAGCGGACGTTCCCTCTGCGTGTCCTCTTACGTAACCGACACGTCACACGTCATGACGCGCACAAGTTGATAAAGAGAAGAGAGAGACGAGTCTTCCTCACTCGTCTGTAGCGACTCGGCAATGGAGGATGTGTGAATTTAACGGCCAACGCTAGCTTTTTGTTTCATAGGGGCTAGCCGCCATTCTCTACTTGCGCCTAATTTTTTTTTTTGGAACAAGTAAAACAAACGCGTAACTAAAACTAAAACCACAATATCAAGATGAACATCATTAAGACAAACCGGGCCGCGTACAACCTAACAAACGGAAACATGAGCTTTTTGCTAACTCAAAATGGAGTCGACGGACATATGCACTACGGCCCAGGAGATTCATCGCCTCAAATTGCAATGGGCTCTTCGCTAGCCTCTCACAACGGCAGTGTGGGCTCCGGCGAAGCCCCGAAGCGGCCAAAGAACCTGGCGGTGAGCGCAAATAATGTGTATTTAACAAAAGCCATTCGCGGGGGCAGCGACGACATCGAGGACGGATCTTTGCCGTGCACACCGGAGCTCCACTCGGACAGCGACATCGACGTGTCCGGTTGCCCGACGGGGGACGAGGTGTTGGACAGCGAGACCACGACACTCATTGAATGTTTCCTGAGAGACTTTACTGGACTTTCTAAATCTCGGTGGAGTGAAAGTAAAGCACTAGCGACCATGAAAAGAGTTGTGGATGGCGTTTTGGAGAAACACAGATACGCGTACAATGGTATGTACTGAAGTGTGTGTGTGTGTGCTGCATTTACGTTACAGGCTGTGTTGAACTCCATTTAGTCCTCAGTCACCCTGTTTGGGACTGCTGTTATCACCCATTTTAAAACAACACATAAGTTAAATAGAAGTTCATCCGCTTTTACAGCTAAATTAAGTTGAAGTTGTGTGAATTTTTACAGGACTTTAAAACTTTAAAATGTACAAACAAGGTAAGACGTGTAACCCAGGCCTCTCTTTTTTTTTTTTTTGTTTCTTCATCTAGGTATGATCAGGAAACTGTCATTAGACGACAGAGAGGACGATGCCAGCTTTGTGGGGGCCGTAGCCAAGAGCCTCTTTGCGGACGGGACCACCAACTGGGGTCGTGTCGCCAGCCTGGTGGCCTTCGGAGCGGTGGTGTCTCAGTACCTGACGGAGAAGGGCAGGGGGAACTGCGTGGAGCTGGTGGGACAGGAGATCTCCTCGTACCTGCTCACCCACCAGCGGGACTGGCTGGTCAAAAACAACTCCTGGGTGAGTAATCATGTCTGGTAGCTGAGTGACCGGATGTAGGAAAAAGAAAAAAGGTTGCGTAACGGCTCTCGTTGTGCAACCGAGCGTACGTGTTCAGTTGAGCCTGTTCCTTGCCCTCAGGTTCCCCCTCTAATTATTCCTCTTATTCCAGGACGGCTTTGTGGAGTTCTTTCGAGTAGCAGACCCGGAGTCCACGGTGAGGAACACACTCATGGCCTTTGCTGGATTTGCCGGCATCGGGGCGACACTGGCCCTGTTGATCAGGTGAATTTACTGGACACTCGAGAGACTTTGTCACGAGCAACAAGTTTTTACCTTTTACTTCGCAATGAAGGACACGGCTGACGAGAGGACGGCGGTGTGTGTGTGTGTGTCCTTTTAACCCCTGCTATCCAGAAACCCCCACGCGCACGACTACAAAATAAGTTGATCTGAAAGGACGTTACCAGCATAAGTCACCTTTCAAACAATTAGGTTTTTATTTAATTTACAAAGAAATTTATTTTTCTAATAAATGTAAAAATGTATGTATCTATGCAAAAAGTGGGAATCAGTTGAGCTGATTTTGCTTGATTATGGTTCTGTGTTATTATTATATCAGAATTCCCTGGCTGTATTGGCTCCACCCCCCCAAAACAGGAAGGGAAAGCTGCATTTTTCCATGACATGAAGCCCATTTCCATATATCCCATTCATAACTCCTGGATCTTATGTATGGACACCTCAGCCATGATAGAGGAGATAGGGAGGTGGATTTGCATCAGTGTATCTGTTTCCTTGCTATGAAAATGTGGGATGTGCACTAGGATACATGAGCAACCACATGCAGGACTTTTGACTGGACAGCCCTGTGGAGACGCTTTGAGTTTGTTTTGGATGAACCTCTGGACTGAGTATGAAAGAAGCAGATTGTGATTGAGCGCACCAAAGCTGAGAGTAGTCAGACCTCAGATAGTGACAATGATTTAAAAAAAAAAAGGTTCCTATCCAGCTTGTAAGCTTGAAAAAATAAAAAAAAAATCTGTAATTCACATGGTTTGACCTTTTTGATATGGTTCAGGGAATCTTTGCTAAAGACAGAGGTTACACGTACACTCCCCCCTGGTTCTGTTGTGCCGATATGTCGCCTCGCTCTCGACTTAACGCCTCCGCACTTGTCAACCTTTTTGATGTTTATTCACACCACAACCCAAGACGGCCCAGGCTGCTGTTTCCTCGAAATTTGCTGAGACTGCAGCAGCGCCTCCATCACACTAAGCACTCAGCTGCTTCCGCCGAGTTGCACCGTCCTTTGCAAAGCTGGTGCATAACATCTGAATGCACCAGCACAAGCTATATTGTGAAACTGGAGTAAAAGAGTTCAAAATTGCATAACACTCTGTACTTCCTGGGTTGGAAGGCTACCTAGAAACTGGTGACTTTAAACCAATACAATGTTTGACTGGGTACTTAGACTTAACAACATGTCCTTTGAGTATTGCCTCTCTGTTTGTTTTTGATGCTAAATTACAGCCATTTTCTCTTCCGTGCTTATATTTTTAATAAGGTTGTAAGGAAGGTTTCCAGACTGCTCCACCATACCATGTTCCACTGTACTGTAACTGCTTGTAACATAAACCTGGGAATACAAGAATATTTTTGCACTTATTAGTTGTCTGAATGTCATTTTAAAAGCTCAACTCTTAATGTAGACCACATGAAGCCTGTAGCAGGGGAATCCTTGGCGGTGATGTGTGGCTGCGCCCTTGTTTGTTCAGATCCTCCCCGTCGTCTCGGGTTACGGGACAAACAACACCCAGTGAGGTCTTAGAGGAAATGGAGTAGAGCCTCTCCATGGTGATGATCCACAGCAGACCTCCCCGTGTCCTCCTGCGGCTCATGATGTTAGCCACCACCCTGGTTACCCCTGCTCACTTCATTGTGAGGAACAGGCTGCTACACAATGGGGAATTGAGGCTGAGGCAACTCTGTAGAGCGCTTTGCACCATACACACAAGTGTATTGCAGAAAACAGTCTGCACTGCAGTGTCTCGGGGCTCAATATGCAAAGCACACTTAGTCTTTGAACAACCTCGACGTTGGTAACTAGCTCATTGGAGCAGTACATTATTTAAAGTGCATATACATGCACTACTTTGTCTTCTTCCTAGAGTATTAAAGCCTTAATGTTTATTTCATATGTCTGTATGGAGGAGTGTTACATTAGCTCGTGTTTGGTTGGCATCAGCTCTACACATAGAGACGCTAGTGAATTTTTAGGTAATGTTTAACTACTAAAAGGCCATACATTTCTACACCACCTCAAATGTTCTTCGTCCTTTAGGGTTAAATAATGTTTATCAAACTGAAAACGAAACTTGTGGTTGGCTATGGCAACCGGACTTGGTGGATTTTCTACATTCTCATTGTGGTAACCGTTTGGCTTGTCAGTTATCTTTCACAGCAAAAGACAAACCTTTAATGAAGAAGTGGTCAGACATGGTGTTTTCAAGAAACCCTTGAGCTCACAATGTTTTTGTCCTCCACTTTATTGCACATTTTTTACATTTTCCAGCTGCTGTTCTGTTCAAACGTGTAGATCACCTGTTGCAGCCTCTGCAGAGGAGTGCAGCTTGAGGAAACACACAAGCAGGTGAACACATTCCTGTCATGGGTTAGTTTCAGGGAGTGCTTTCTAAACTATTGTCTGCACACATACTAAACATTCAGATACCGTGGGGAGGATTGATTATATTCTGCCCAGCCCTGCAGTAAAGGAGTGATTCAGAACATAGACCTGCAAAGCTCTGCTCAGATAACCTGTTCACTTTCTGTTCATTATGTAATTATTAACTTGGATTCCAAAGAAATGAAGTGGCTCTTTTGGTTCCCTTTTGGGGGGTGTGGATTTTCTGGCGGTTCAAACGAGGAAGTCTGTTTTGACACATTTGAGAAATTCAGAAGAAAACCTAAGAGTAGATTAGTTTCAGAGTTCGATTTCATTTCATCATTGCTCAGTGTTTTCTTCATACGGAAGCAGCCTGTGGCAGTTGTACTTGTAATTGGAGCTTCGGGGGAACGGCCCTGTCAGGGCATTGGCTGTACGCCTCTTCACTTCCCCCTAGCAACAGCCCGCCCATTCATTTTAAAAAAAGCAACAGTTTCTGAGAAGTCAGCTGACGCACAAGTTTTATCTACAAGAGGAGTAACTCGGCTGCAGTTACTCTAGAAGTTGCAAATACTTAGAATTTAGACCCTGAGATGTAAAGATAGTCAAAAGTGTTAAGTTTGAAGTTTGCAGTAATACTGGGTAAAAAAAACAGTTTGTTCCATTAAAAAGTTGAGTGCTTGTTTATCTTAGCAGCAAAAAGCAGACACAGAACAAGTGCTTAGGTTTCCAGAGCTGCTTCACTGACTGACAATTGGAGACTTGTAGTCCTTTTGAGCTTCAGAAAGTGTTTGATTAAACCTTGGCCTACAGTCTTTGCTCTGCTATTTGCATATACAGAACTTGTTTATATGCATGTGCAGAATATCCTGAGGCTGTCTGCTCAACTCTTTCCTCTACTGGCAAACATGACTTTGAGCATAACATGTCTAAAAATGTCTCAGAGCGTTTCTCTAAATAAGTATGTAACTCCTGCTTTTAGTGTAGTGTGCTTTTAGTTGACGCCGAGCACTCGTTCTTGTGGTGCTTCTGCACTACACTTCCCAGAGATCACTGTGTACTGCAGCCCAAAGTGCAGCCTTTTGCCTTTTCTTCACTTACCTTCTGTCCTTAGGTTTGAGTTGGGGGCTCACTTAAATTCTCAACTCCTCAATTATTTTATTAGATTTGATCTTTGAAAAGGTAAAAGCATCACCTCCTGTGTGCAGGACGTTTTTCCCCAGAAACGCCCGTCAGTGATAGCAGCCACATTCATAAAACTATGCAAAAAGCATTGATTTGCTTATGCAATCTCTCTGGTCAACATGCCTGCAAACAACGCGTGCCTTTGTTATGTTTGCTATTTTTAATTGTGCACAAGGTTTCCACTCATTCCTACAATTATCTATGAAAGGAAGTCATCACATTCTCCTGTTGAGCTTGGATGTGAAGCGGACACACTCATTGGTCCTGCTAATGTTCGTAAAGCCAAATTGATGACCCATTAACAGCCTACTGACTGATGAAGCATTGGGAGTTGGAATTGATGATCCGCTGTGCACTATCCACACATTGGGCTACTTTACTCACTGCATGAAGATATGTAATCCTGTTTTCATGCTCTGAATCGAAATCAGGCTGGCAGAAAGTTGATAATTACAACCGAAACCTGCGATGTTCTAAAAAAAACATTAATTAAATTCCTGTCGTTTTAAAGAAATTACAGCTCTAATTAAGGTAGAGGCCTGAAAACCACTATAAATTATTTGCATTGGGCTCTAGGGCCATTTTATAAACAATAAAAAACCAAGCATAGTTTAAATGTATATGATTAAAATAACTGAACACTAATTCTTCCCACATTCTTTGACACATCTCACACTCACCTTACTCTTTGTTCAAAATTGTCAAATTCTTGTTGTCATGCTCCCTCCAGCAATGCTCATACCAAATATATAAAAGAAAACCATGCAAGTAAATGAGATGAGAAGACAGATATAGAATAGAGTTATATATAATCTGTGGTGCAAAATGAATAAACTGGTTGTGCAGTAGTATATTTATATGCCTAATGAGAACCAGTTATGGACTGTTAAGAGCAGGAAGTAGACAGGTCATACATATACTGTACATATTGTCATGGTTTAACAGCTTGTAATAAAATAAATATGCATGTTTAGTGCAATGTCTGGCGGCAGCAGGTAGGACAGTTTGGAGCTGGGGTGATTGGTTCGTTCGTGATCCCGTAGACCGCCTTCCTCCATGGGTGGCAGCTTCGTCCTGCTAATACCTTCACAGTTGAGGGCGTTGCATTTGCCAAACCAGGTGGTGATGCAGCCAGTCAGGATACTCGATTATAATTGAGTGTCCTGGTGCTGGACGTGCACATATTAAGTATATTTTGGTTGTGTATTGTCCCAGCTTATGTGTTCTTTCTTTATACAAATGTCTACCATAGGCTAGAAAGCATTTCAAAGGTTTGAGCTGGTTTATTGTTGCACAGTATTGAGTTATGGGATGCAGAGTATGAAAATAGCTTTAAACCAGAGTTTTAAAATAGTCATAGATCATAGGTCAAAGGGCTAAACTCTAAACTAGAGTTCTTTGTGGCGTGTGGATTCTTATCACAGATCACATTTAATCCACTGGGTGACGTGTCATGTTCCCTCTGAGCTGTCATTGCGTCGTTTGAAACGTTATTCTTTGACTGATGGCCATAATGCAATATTCATAGAAAGCTTATCAGTCGGGACATTCTGGACGCCCACTATCATTTCTGTGCTGCGGCCTGTCGCTGATGACCTCATAAGCTCTTCACATTGTTCGGCCTCTGTTTAAATTGTGATAATACTTTCTGAGAAATGCTATCCTAGAAAGAACACGTACTTGGAGGCGTCACTTCACAAATTCTTTTGCACAATGTTTTCAATAGCGTCCTACTTAGATGGAGAAATGTAACAATATCCACTTTAATTTTTGATGCCGCTATACAACCTGCATAAGCAAACAAGACCACGAGCAAGAAGCACCTGCTGCACGAGGTCAAATTCAGTCGGAGTCCCCTCGAAATCAGACAAAACAAGGTGATGGAAACACTACCACGTTTGTCCACAGGGGGCGCCAGAATCAACACAAAATGAAAATTCCCCCCTTAAAGTACTTTATTACTTAATTACTTTAACAGTCGGAAACAAAAACATTTGGAACATGACGGGGGGGATCCATGATAGACATGTGGGGGTTCCTCTGACAAAAAGGTTGTTGTAGTGTCTATTTTGCGACGCTAGCTCCGAGAATTTGCGAAAGTCAGGCTCGGCAGATCCGTCATATCTGTGTAGATGTATTTCACAATATTTTTACTGAAGCAGCGAGGGAATGTTTATTCACAGATGCTGTGAGGAAATTATTCCAGACTTTAGAATAAAAAATCTTTATATTTTCAGTTCACTTCACCTGGACAGCTTTAAGGTTATGGAGTAAGTAAGCTGGGAAACTCTTATTAATATGTATGAATATGTCACAGTATTCTCCTGTCAAATCACTGTTGTTGCTGTGAGACGCCTGCTACGTGTGGTTTCATTGCTCAAGCAGAGGTTGCTCTCTCTCTCTCTCTCGGCACACAGTGTACTCTCAGGCCGGTTGTTGACCCTGCATTAGGTCACTGGAGGCTTTCCATGTTTTGTTTAACGAAGGAAAGAACAGTTTGGTAACAAGACCAGCATTCCAGCCAGAAGGGGAGTGACGTTCCCAGCAAGATTCCCAGCTTGTAACAGACAGGAAGGAAGTGGCAGGATATTTTGTTCTAGGGCTAAATGCAGCAGTGTATACAGAGCACTCCTAAACTGGCACACGTTCAGCTTCTTCCCCAGTCGTTCAGGACTCAACATGCCAGTGCTTTTCTTCTTCAGTCTCCTGTCTGTATTCTTCATTAGGCCAGTTTGCAAATAAGAATGAAAGTGAAAGAGCAACCCCCCTCCCCCCAACAACAAAGAGCAATTGAGACTTTCCTTTAGTCAGACTC